GTCATTCGTGTTCGACTCGTTTTGGCTCGAAATACTACTGATCAATTATATATATCTCTTTAACGGGTACTCTTTTTTAAAAATTTAGTTGACTACAAGACTACAAAGATTTATAATAAATTAAAGTATTGATTAAGAAAATAGAATAAAAATTATTAAACTAGATTCAAATAATGTTTTAATAAAAATAATAATTTTTAAATCTTGCTCAAATCCTTATTGTCTTATGGCTACATGATTAAGGTTGTTAAAATGACTTTGTTCGTGAACAGCTTGTGTTCGGCTCGTTAAGCAAACGAGCCTAACACGAACACACTTATTGAGCTCGAAATATAAATGAGCCGAACACGTGCTGAGCATGGCTCGCTTGTGTTCGGCTCGTTTAGACCCCTAATTGTATTTATATTAATAAAACTTTAACACCTGAAAATATGTTTCACGAGGGTTGGGTCACATGAATCTCACATGGCGAGGGGATGCAGCCATTTAAATTGACGCAAATCTCAAGAGCTAAGAGTTAATAAAATAATTTTGTATTAACCTTAACAAATATTATGAAATGGAAATATAGAGATTTTTACATGCATATCATCCAATTCTTATGTATTTACATATCTATCTAATATCTAAATTTTAACTTTGATATTTTAGTTGTCTAAATATTTTATGACCCATAAAACAAACATCATCATTTTAACTTTTAGAACATGAAACACTTCTTTTTCATATGTCAATAAGATGTTATGTATAAAAAATATTTGAGGTTTAGATATTAAATATTTGATTGAATAGAAATTAAGTGGTATTTTTAGCTCGAAGATCAGTAATCGGTCGAAAATTGAATCGGATTTTAGCTCGAATCAAAATCTTATCAAAATAAACGTGTTGAACTATGAGTTAAAAATTCGGATTGAATTTTTTTTTAGTTGATTTCGAGCAATACATGATTCCGCTCAAGCTGACTCGAGATCGACTCAAATTATTTTTTTTTATAAAAATTATATAGAATGCTAAATAAAATGAATTATAACAGGCTAGGAGCAGATTATGAGTGGAATCAGTTCTAAAAACTCAAATTAAGCGATTTTATTTCGAGTTCGAGCCGATTTTGAACCAAATAAAGCTGGAACGGATCCAAATAACTCAAATTTGAGCTGGATCATTTTAATTTCAAGCCAAATCGAGCTCGATTCAATTTAGAACCGAGTTGGCTTGAAATCGTACATAACTTGTCACGAGCCTATTTCAATCCAAATCCAATCCATTCAAGCCAATTTTGAGCCGGTCCCAACTCTGCTCAAAACCACCTCATTAACAGTGTTATTCATCCAACATCAAGGGAGTCTTAAAGCATCAAAATGACAGAAAGAAAAAATGAGTCAACACTAACGTCCAAATAAAAACAACAAACAATAAGTGCTACAAAATGACAGAAAGAAAAAATGAGTCAACACTAACATCCAAATAAAAACAACAAACCCTAAACCCTAAACCAAAAAATTACTAACAATTGTTGAAGAATCCGACATTTGATGCATAAATTGTAGTCGACCATTATGTAACTATCCCTAAAACAAAATAATAATTGAAAATTGTCAAATAATTTTTAAAAATAACTCTTAAAATATAAATGATATGGCCCATAATTTAAAGGCCTCATCGAGTTAGATCATATTAACTATTATGACATGACGTCAATTAAAACATATGTACCTTTAATCTATTCTAAACCGACATATTCCTATACACTCATATCATGCATATTAATATACATATTAACGGAAGGCATGCGAGTTAAAGTCTTGAATACAAGGGAAAAAAAGATATACTTACGGTGCAGGAAAATATTCAACTTTTTGCTATTTTCCAGAGCTTGTCGAAAATATTCTAATGTTAACATAGACGTCGCTAATTGAATTTGTGTCGATATTTGACCGTCGCTAAACATTTTTGTCGGAATTATGACCGACAATGTCTGAATGACTGTTTTGTGCCGATTGAATCCGACATTAATTAGCGTCGACATATGTCAACGCGAATTAGCGCCGGCCTAGTTTGACGCAAATCAATATCAGATAATTTTGATGTTATTGCGTAATTTAACGGTGTCTAGTATCAAAAGGTGGATTGACACTTTAGGGTTGGAAAGTGTCGACACTATTCTGACGCAAACTTGTATAAAACAAAACAAGAAATACATCAAAACGATTAGAGTTCCACATATATGCACTGACCAACCACAAACAACATAATTGAATACTTATCTATCATCAAAGCCGATATAAAAAAACTCCAACATACTATGATCCATGCCATCATTCATATGTTCAGATGAAAAACACAATAGTTTCTCCTCTTCAGGAGCCTTAAATTAAACTACTGGTAAAGAGAAACGTGAGGTGGAAGTAGACACGGCTCGTTAATTTGCGGCCGGTTAATTATTTTAAATGCTAAAAGATTATTATTTTGTAACACATTCAAATAATATTGGAACAGTAGTGGTGAAGATTAGCTCCTCCGGTGCAGCCAAAATTGCGTCTGAATCTCTCTAACGGTCAAGGATTTCTGCAGCCCAAGGGAGCTAGAATTCTTCTCATCCCAGCTTTAACAAAAGTTGATGAGGGCTATAGGGTGTGTTTGGGGTAGTTATAACTTTTAAGAAGGTGATTGTAAAGTTATATTGGAGAAAGCTAGAAAGTAGAGATTATAATTAATTATAAATATATTTTTTTATTTCCAAAAAACCAATCAATTCTTGCAACCACCACATTTTAGTAGGTCAAGTTGAAAAAAATAATTTCTCGTCACACGAATTTTTTAAAAAGGCAACAGAAAGCAATTCTCCAAACAGAATTGTGTTCAAGATCCGAAACACAAAGCAGACAGAACAATATTTCAAATAAAAATAATTTCTCGTCACACGAATTTTTTAAAAAGTCAACAGAAAGCAATTCTCTAAACAAGATTGTGTTCAAGATCCGAAACACAAACCAAATAGAAAAATATTTCAAACAGACTCATGGTAAAACTAGCCACTGTAACTAGGTAGTCATTCAATTTGGGACAATTTTTGAAATCAAATATTTGATTAATATAAATTTATGAATCAATGGCTTATTTATTCATTATTTTTTTATTCATCGTGTTTGGTATGTTTTTTTTTTCCTTTCTTAGCTTTCAAGCCCTTTTTTATTCATGTGGGTAAATATATGTTTTTTTAATATTAATTTTTCGTTGTGAGCTAATTTTTAAAGAAGGTTTAATTTACATACATATCACTTACATTCATATGTGTTAAATCCAAAAGTGTCTGGGAAGCACACTCATATGTTAGGAAGTAAAGTGAGTGAGAGAGTGAGAGAGAGAGAGAGAGCATAGTGAGGGGCAATAAAAGAGAGTGTTGTTTATTCATGACATAGACCAGTATTTATAAGCATAGGTCTCAGTATTATAAAAGTACATATTAGACACCTAAGTATTAACTTTTCAAAAATATTTTTTGGTAATAACAGAGTTGTTCATGTTATGTTGGAGCCCGATTCGGTCTGCCCAATCTCACTCCCGATTTCTCCCGCTCCCGCCTCCTACTACAGACTCTCGCTCCCGCCTACGCCTGATCGCGAATAGTCATGTCTCTCGCCTGGCGTCGATTCGCAAATAGAAAAGAGAAACTGCTCCCGCTCCTGCGCCCTCTTAGTCACGATAAAATGGGAGCTTCACCTCTCCTATCGTGTGAAGCGACTGAAATGTGAGAGAGTATAGCGAGGCTTGGAAGATCGCCGCTTTTGTTTTTGCACGACCCTTTGTGTTCTTCTGCGGTAGTTTATGTTTTTTCGGATTAGAGGAAGAGAAGTGCAAGCAGTGGTTCCTTGCAGCAGAATGAAGAAGAAGAAAATTTTTCTCCCTTAACTTCCTCTTGGTGGCTTGTGGCAGAGAAGAAATTGGGTTTATTTCTCTTGTAAGTTTATCTTCTTCGGTGTAGAGAAAGAAGAAGAGAAATAACAACGAAGTGAGAGATCTCTCTTGTAAGTCGAAACGATCGACTTGTGTAAATTTCTCAAGTGGTAAAATCCTTTGCAACTCCGTGGACGTAGGCAATTTGCCGAACCACGTAAATCTGTGTGTTCCGCTGTGTTACTATTTTCTGGTGTGAATTTTCTTATTCTATTTTTTGCTTCATCAAAGATCGTTCTTTTATTTTATATATATACCACAACAGTTTGAATATGATAAGCCCAGAGACTAATTCGATGGATGAGAGGCGTCGATCGTGTGGTAAGCCTTGACTTGATTGATATCCAATTCAAAAGAGAGCCTCATGTCAATCGTTTTGAGGACTGATCCCCGCCCTTCGAAACATCTCCTGGTACATGCCACTGATCGTTCGGACAAGACACCTCCCTTGCCAATATCCAGTTCAAAACGGTCATCAACAGCTATGTCTGATCGTCAGTGTCATCCTTCCGAGTTGTTTATCTACTTGAGATTCGTGCTGACATAATTTTTATGTACATTATTAGTTTCATGTTCTCTTGTTCCCCGGAAGTTGCACAGTACAATAGGATAGGAGAATCTTTTTAACATATATTAAATAATTAAATGACATTATTGCAAAAAAAAGAACTTCCCTAGATTTTTGTGCCCAGACCATTATAAGTAGGTCTTGGGGTAAGGAGGGTTCGCGTCATTTCCTTTTCTTGTTGCTTCTTTAGTCTTATATCTCTTATTTTTTGTAGCTGTCACGGTGTCTAGTGAGGGAACATCATCAGCCAACAAGAGCGATATTCTCGAAGCATGAAGTTCATGCGGGCGAAGGCCAAATCAGCAGGCAAGGCATCTGTTGGAGATTTAAGCAGTAAGTAAATTGTGTTATGGTCGCAAGCAAGGGGAAACAAAGATCAAACTAGGTCTTCTGATTTTTCTGTAGTTTCATCATAGAGGGGAGCTGCAGAGGAGGTTGGAAGGCATACCAATGATCGTCTTTCAGAACAACCATTGGAGGCGACCACTCCTACCTAAAGGGGAGGAATGTTCATTAAGATTGTCACGGGGACTATGACTCCACAGCGAGGTCGAGAAGCTACCGAATGAAGTTGGAACTCAGTCGTAGTCGCAAATAGGTGGCTTTTTCCTTCGTGGGTGGACAACTAGAGGGGACCGACGAGGCTTCGTCTCTTACACCACTTCTGAATGGTGTCAAGTTTTGGGTATGTAGTTTGAATCATAACTTTTAGTATTCTTTTTACAGATGCAAGAGCCCTGATGATCACTTTTACTTCCTCAGACATTGACGCTGATCCTGAGGGCCATGTTGCCTTTGTGGATCAGGTCGGGGGGAGGGGAGCGAATACTAAGGAACAAGTTGTTTTGAAACAAGGGGCCATTGAGTAGGGCATCGTGGAGCTGGACAATGTGGCTCAAAGGATAGGAAATAATCCTCACTCGGGCAGAGGTAGGAGAGTGGGCGGCCAAATTCCTCCCAGTGCGGCAGTGGAGGGGATGACACCTAGGGGGCGTCGGGTGTATGCCGACTTTCTGGTGTTTGTCCTTTTTGAAATAAAGGAGCACTTTATTTGTTTCATAGTACAACCTCTGTTAGATAGCGATGATGGAGTTGATGAAGTCTTGGAGCTAGTTGATCGGGTGGTTTTCTTCCTCCAAAGATTGCGGGCACATGCACCGCAATGTGAATGGCATTGGTGCTGATGGGCTCGTCTGTCATTCCTCCCGCAAGATATTTGACCTGCCATTGGGTCGCAGCTCCAAGGGAGATAAATTCTTTCAACTTCCCCTCTTTTATTGGCTCCTCGATCATGCCTAACAGGTGTCTGTATTCTTCTGTATCATGTTCGTGATCTCTGTGGTACTTATAATATTTTTTGTTATCTTGAAGAAAAGCTTCAACCATCATCGGTGTTGCTTTCCTGAATAACTCCTTATATTTGATGGCATCCACTATTTTTGCCATGGATACCTAGAGTGGGGTTTCACGGGGAACCCCAGGATTATATCGGTTACGATGGTATGACAATTTGTGGTTATGGGCCTTGTTCTTTCGCCTCTGATCCTCATAACACTTGGTGGAGTGATTTTCGGGGTGACCCTCATAGCGGGGACAGTTAGACAGTCGTGCACTCTGTCTGGGTTGCCCTCTACTCTCTTCTAGCGATCACTTATGAATTCTCCGCTTGGTGAGCTCGCTGGTGCTCTCGTAGGTGATGATATATTTGTTGGTCATTTTCAACAACTTGACCAAGCTTTGCAGCTCTGCGAGTTTGAGTTCGAAATGGAACCTCTCCAACCTCACTCATTGTGTCAACGTGGCCTGGGCCATGTAGTTCTTCAAGTCCTAGATGTCTAGTGTTTCTCTTTAGAAGTGTGCGATAAACGACCACAAACTCTCGTTGGCTCCTAGCTTCAGTTGTCACAGGGATTGAGCGCTTTTTACAGGCATTAAGGCATTGGCAAACTACGATAGAAAGAGTCTTTTGAACTCCAAAAAATAGGTGATTACCCCTACGAGAATTCCGTCGAACCACATTGATGTGGTTGATCTCAACATCATGAAGAAGAGCTTACATTCAAGGGCATAAAAAATTTTCAACTGGCATATGGTCGACGATTCGAACGATATGATGGAGTCGTTAGGATTCGACCATCCCTTATACGGCTCTAAGACCAGCATATTGAACTTTTCCAGAGACTTATAGGGAGAAGGCATTTTCCAGCTGCCTTTTTTTCTTGGTTTGCACTGGTCAATTTCTCTCCTCCACAGAGGCGGATCCAATGTGTCTTGATATAGACCGTCATCAGACTTTTTCTGCAGGTGGATCACCCTCCTTCCATTGTTGCTTGGTGTTTCCCTTTGAAGGGGGTTGAGTGTTTTTTGTCGTGCTTGCTCTTCTCTTGAAACTGAGGTTGTTGCTAGGACATCGACCACCCTAAGTACTTCTGTGAATTGTCCTGACATCTGGTTGGTGATCTGAGTTCTCAAATCTTGCAGGCATTGTTGAACAAATTCCTTCATAAACCCCCAGGTCTGACTGAACTCTCCCTACGGTTGTTATTGAGCTTCTCTTCTTGTTGACGAGATGTTTCCATGCTCATTACACCTTAAAGAATGTTGAATCCAAAAGTGTCAAAGAAACACAACCAGATAATAGAATGTTCTGCTAGGAAGTGATGAGAGAGAAATAGAGCACAATAGAGAACAGAAAAAGAATGTATCCTTTATTCATGACATTGACCTCTATTTATATGAGTAGGTCGCAACATTATAAAAATACATTTTAACCTCCTCATTGTTAACTTTTATGTGGAATTTTTTGATAATTACAGACTTATTTGCATATAATAAGATTGAGGGCTTATTCGATCGATGAGAGTTATCGGTCATATGGTAAACCTTGACTAGATCAGAAAGAGAGCCTCATGCGGATCGTCTCGAGGACTGAACTCCATCTTGCAGAACATCTCCTGACACGTTCTACCAATCATTCGGATAAATCGCCTCCCTTGCCAACCTTCAGTTTAAGATGGTTGTCAACAACTTAATATTTAAAAATGTGCATTTATCTTAGCCACGTGTATTCTCTCCAAATTGTATTTTTTTCATTGTTGAGATTTGTCATGAGGTCCCCAGAAGAAGGCGCACAGACTAAAGCCACAAAAATGAAGGAGAGGTGAAAAATTAGTATAAGAAACCATGTGAAAGCTTTCCTCTAGCTGCCATAAGCTCTGAGCTGATGCAGTGGAAGCTGTAGCTCTCTGTAAACAAAAAATGAGGGAGTTCGGAGGTTTGCATATTGATTTTGAACGTTTTGGCTGGGAGCTGCATAAGAAATGGAAGCAGACGAGAGTGATTGTTGTGGTGCCACTGTTGAGAGTTGCGGTGTTGATTTGCCTGATAATGACACTCATACTTTTGACGGAGAAGTTGTTTGTGGGTTTGGTTTGTCTTGTTGTGAAGGTGTTCGGATTGAAGCCTGAGAAGCGTTACAGATGGAAGCCAATGAGTTCTGAGGCATCGGATTTGGAGGCTGGAGCTTCATCTTTCCCCATGGTTCTTGTGCAGATCCCAATGTACAATGAGAAGGAGGTAGCCATTCTTCAAGTTCATAAACTCTTCTCTCTCTCTGTGTGTACTATTTGTCTCTGTTTGCTCATGGAAAAAGTGGGAGCAGGTGTACAAGCTTTCAATAGGGGCCGCATGTAATTTGGATTGGCCGACAGAGAGGATGATAATTCAAGTCCTAGATGACTCTACTGATCCAGTTGTAAAGGCATGAAATCACCCCCGGCCCTCTCTCTCTCTCTCTCTCTCTCTCTCTAACTTTCTCTCTCACCCTCTCTCTCTCTCTCTCTCTCTCTCCCGAACTCTCTAACTTTCTCTCTCTATATATATATTTATTGAAATTGAATGTTTTGATTATTTTTTTTATTTTGCTCCCCCCATCCTCCCTAATCGCGTCCTCAATCCTCGTCCTCAATCATCGGTGTCATTGAATGTTGTCTAAATTCTTTGATTTTAGTCCATCACTTTGGACTTTTGGAGTCTATTTAGTGATTCTCGATGTATCCGTACCGCCGATTTTTTTAAAATTATTTTGTTTAATAAGCACACTTCCCGCACACAATTCATTAACTTTTAGACTCATTTACATAAATACCACATCAATTTTATATATTTGCATATCTAAAATCTCAACATTATTTGTGTTTACATGCTTATCATTCAAAATTTCAATATCACATTAAAAATATTTCCAACATAAACTTTTTAAAAGTGATATGTATGAAACTTCATGCATAAATTCATGACTCTTAGGATGTCTTAGAAGTGTAACTAATTGTATTCTTTCCTGATTTTTCCTGGATCTGAAATGATAGTTCATCAATCACGTGCGCCACAAACGTACGAAGGGAGGAGAATATATAATGTAAATTGAAACAATTACGTGTCCGTTTGGTCTGAATTATTGGAGCTTATTGTTACTTTTTTCAGCATTTCAAAAGCTATTATATAATTCAAAGTAAAAAAGTAATGCCGAAGTTAAAGTTTAGAGGGATTGAAAATTACTCTAAATTTCTTTTCCCGACAGTTTTCGAATCACGCACCATAAAATTTTTTGATCCAGTTGGCCCCGCACACGTGTGGTGCCGTGTGGCCTTTCTCACCCTTTTTGAACTGTCTCACTCGCCCCCTCTACGCTCACCGATCTACCTTTCACTATCTCCTCCAAGATTCTGTCAGGACACCTAATGTAGAGAGTCATTCGAAGTTCAATGAAATCACGTCACGTGGCAGTTGGTGACAGGAAAAAAAAAAAATTTACCCGGTAATATAAGGGAATATTCCTCTCGTGTTATTCAGGTATTATTGTGTGTTAGTCAAATGTTATTAATATGTTATTTTGTTATTATAACACCGAAAATATTTCTAGAACACAATAACACCTGAATAACATATAATAACACATGAATAACACAAGAGGAATATTCCCGTGTTATTAGACCGATTTTTTTTTGTCACATCTACGTGACGTGATTTCATTGGACTCTATATGTAAATTTATTTGCGGAGTCCCAATGCAATATTTTTTTTTTCTAAAAATAAAGCTTAGGTATAACTAAAAATTGAGTGGTACATATGTAAATCTTCCAAAAAAAATTTCTGCCTTATTACCATCCGCATTTTAAAATTTTATTTCTTCCTCTACATAAACATTACCATAAAGAATTTGAAAATCTCTTACATTCATTTTACAGACATCCAAAAAAAAAAAAAATTTATATAAAGAACCCTGAATCTACTAGAAAGACAGTGCTGGCTTTCTAACATCACAACCAGCAAAATTTTGCCTCATGGAGCCATCCATCTCCTCCAAGATAACATTTTTCAATCTAACTAACCACTAGGACGACAATGGCGACGCCGAGCCCTCCTCGTCAGAGCTTTCCGGCCTCAAAGCTCGAAGCTTTGGGAACAGAGAGGGCAGATTAGGGTTAACCGGCACCGGAATCTGTCGAATGGAGCTCGCAATGGTTTTATCCGTTATTTTCCCCACCTCCCTGCAAACCTGATCAAGAATGCACAAGAAATCCCTAACCACCATGAAGATCCTGAAAGGATGAGCTTCTTCCTTGGCAGAGTTGCCATGAAAGTACTCTGTTATCTCCTTCACTAAGGACAGTGCGACGCTCTCCTGAGCCTGAACCTGTATGATCTGATCCTCTGCCTTCTTCATGAAGCTCCTCAAGGATTCATTGAACCTCTGGTCTCCATCTCCGGCGAGTTTCAGAACCTCTGCTATCTTACTGATTCCTCCGGCGAGTTTGGAGACGTAGCTGCTGAGAACATCGGAGTCCATGGAAGCTGACTTTTTGACATTGCTGAGTTCGCTGCCGAGGCCTGCGACGACATGGAGGCCGCGGCGACAGCACTCGAGGTCGTCGCGGAGGGAGTTTGGTTGGGTGGTAGTGGTGGTGGTGGTGGAGGAGAGGCGAGAGCCCTCTGCTCTGATGACCTCTTGGACGACGAAGTGGAGGAGGGTGGTATTGCCGGC